CGGCGCCCACGGAACGCGCCTCGCAGCCCAAGCCTTCGCCCGCCTCGCCCCGTGCGCAGTGTTCCGAGAGGAACGCGCGCGGGATGTCTCCGTCCCTGCGGAGTCTTCTGGAATATAATTTCCCAATTAAGGTATTTGTAGAAATTTAAAGTGCTTACTTTGGGGATTTCATTGAACCTCCGCATCCTCTACTTAATCACTTACCAGGAAAATGCTCAACTAAGTGTAGTTCCATGGACTTCCAGTTTCCTTAATTAAATATGTCTTGTTGATCACGTTTGGCTGAAGGAATGTTTTTCTAAAGAGCGGCTTTTGTTTTTAATGGGAAAAACTGTCAGGCGACAAAGCTCCGTTTTATACAGGCGTTGTTGGGAAGTTGAGCAGTTGACGGCTGGAGGTGTTGAACGCGGTCCTCAAATAATTCAGGCACAAACTTTGTGAAGGGGAAGTGTTTCGGGTTAGCTCATGCTGTCACGTTCAACGTTAATCGAAAATAAACATGATTATGTCAGAACCACGAATTGTCTGAGATAGTGATTCGCCTCACTATCAAGCCAATGGAGTCTGATTTCTGGAAAAGGGAAATTTCCCGTGTGCATTTGAGAGACAGATCTCTTCTCCCCCTGACGCTGATGAACTGGATGGTGGCATAGGCCACATTAGTGCCTGTGGATGTCCTGGAGTTAGTGACTTAAGAAAAATGCTCTTCATCCAGCGCACAAATAGTGGGTGAGGCGAAGTAGTGTCATAAATGCAGGAAGTGGGTTGAAGGAGACGATGAAGGTAAGGAAACACCTGTGAAGGGGCAGCCGGCCCTCAGGTGCTGGTCGCTGCCCCTTTTCAGGAAGTCCAGCCCACTCTGCTGCCCTTCTTTTCCCCTTATCTCCTTCTCTCCTTAGCATGGAAACCAGGTAATTGTGCTTTTCATGGGTGAGTATCTTATGCAACCCTTCCAGTCACCTCATGAGTCATGTGCTGTGTTCACCATCAGTGTCTTAACAAATGGGGACACTGGCACAAGCTCCCTAAGCAACTTGCCCAAGTTTACATAACTGGAAGTGGCAGTGCCGCGACTTGAACCCTGGCAGCCAGGACCCACAGCGTATGGTAAACCACACTTTACCCTGCTAGTGCTGTATTCCTTTCTAGGGCAACTCACAGCCTCTTTAAAGTACATAGCAGTTCTCCTTGAAAAAAATTCAGTGGTCCAGTTAAGCATGTACCCCTGCTTTCCTATCTGTGGTAGTAAAGACCACCCAATGGAGAACAAGCCCAGGTTGTTCATACCCAGTGAGTTAGCTACCATTACGTCTAACCAGCAGCTCAACAGGCAGGCAGAGGAGCAGGATGGTTGCAAGTATGTTCATTGGAGGCTGCTGGCAAGAAGAAGTTACTTACGGGCACCCCCATGAGAGGTGAGGCATCCACTTGACCATTTAGGTGTGCATATTTGACTTTTTTCTGATTGGTCCCACAAGTCAGGAAAAAATGAAGTTAACAGTCCTGGTGGTTTAGAGCAAATTGCTACAGGGGTTATTCTTTGGCTTGCTGGATTTATTGCTGTAGATAGTCTTGTACTCGTTACTATAGATAGTAGATTGCCTTCCTAGACTTGAGTTGGTCCATGTTGGGGACCAGAGTCTGTCTTTACAGGTAGTCTGACCCTTGTCCCTTTATATATTGATTCTTTCTTGGGGGAAGGACCTAAAATATTTACTCCGTGGTGCTCCAGCTGTAATTCCCTGTATGGGGAGTTGTGCCTGCTGACTGCCTGGCCTGCACAGCCGGAACCAACCAGCTGCTTCACTAACAGCTCTACACTATGGAAGGTTGGTTTAGGTCTAGGTATTATTCAGGGCAACTACTTGTGTTAAACCTGCCGAATTTCCCTATTACAGTGAAGGGAGAAGGAGGGAGAAAGGAGGCAGAAAGAGCAAACCTGACTCTGAGGGAGGAGGGAAAAGGAAAGAAAGAACTAGATCAAGGACCTGTGCCAGGGCTAGGTTGTAGCTCAGTGGCAGTGAGTGGTTTGAGAGACCCTGTGGTCAAGCCCTAGCGCGTGCGCACGCACGCACACACACACACACACACCCAGGGCTGTACTTTTATAAGCTCTGGTCAGGTGAGAATCTGAAAGCATAGAGGTCCCAATGTTTCAAACAAAAGAGAACTATAACAGTAATTGATTAAACTGTCTTGAGCTGATTATGATCCTTGGGGAGGGAGAATGTCAGGCTATGTTGCCAAAGGCGGCTCAGAGGAGGGCAGACAGTGCAGCGCCTAGGTGATAGGATGAGTGTGTGGCAGATGAGGTAGGTGGGTTCCTTGCATGCCGGGATCCCTGCAAAACCCCTCAATGCTCTGATATACACAGGTAGAAAGCATGTTCACAGATTCTGTGTAATAGGTGATGTTCAGTTTTCTTTCTCTACAAAAGGAAAAAAAATATTTAAATTATTTTAAAGCAAATGACAAGTAAAAAAATCACATTAAATGTGTGTTTGAATATTAAATAAGAATTTAAAATAGTAATACTACTGACAACTGAATGAGCTCATTTACTTAATCACAAAAATCTTTTGGGGCAAGTACTCCTCCTATTTCCATTGTATTGACAGGGAAACCGATTCTCAGAATATTTAAATAACTTTCCTTAAATCATAGTCTACTAAATGGGTAGGATTCAAGACTTTTGAGGCTGCATTGATTTTGCTTTATTTTTAAATTTTAAGACGTTTTAAAT